TATGACAAAAAATCAAACAGCAATTTCCAATCGTAGTCCTATTTCAAAAAACAAAACTCTGGCAAAGTTTTTCTTGCACACATCCTGCCTCATGACCCTGTCTAAACTGTTGCGTGCTGCGTACAAAGCAGTATATTTACACAAGGGGAAACAACAGAAAAATAAACGAATCATTAGAACCATGCAATATAACCATATACTCAAAAGTTCCGTCTTTCCAGATCAGTTTTCAAATTCAGAAGCTAACGAATTTTTAAAGTACAGTTTTTGCAAAGAAAATCATCGTCATAAACTTTCGTTCAAGGTATCAAAAGTCTGCTGAACAGAAAGTCGATGGAATGTGTAAATATACTGAACATTTAGACCGCCAGGATTTTTATGCCGGATTTCATTGGTGAAGGCTATTTCAGATACGGTAGAGCACCTAGTCCCCAGGCCTTTACCGGCGCGGCCGCGAAATTCAATTTGGCGCCAAGATAGGGAGTGGAGTTTTTTCATAGAAATAATAGACATAAAATGCGTGCTCCTATCTATTCTCAGTAAAAATTGTCTCCACAAAATGGCGGATTTATAAGGGCTTTTTGGCTAGTTCCAGATTGCTGTGGTGAGTAATTTCGCGCGTTTGCACGGAGTGTGAATTGTTTTGTGTTTTTTTTTTAAATTTGCAAAAAAACAATTATATCGAGACTTAAAGTGAAAAAAAAAGTTTTTTTAAAGGAGAAAACCCCATTCCCGTGGTTTTTTTTTACGAAAAGCAATAGTCCTGAACAGAATATATACAGAAATCGTCATTTGAAAATACATTTTCAACGTTAAAACCAAAACACAACACGAAGAAACAAGACAAACCCAATTTATAATAGAAATGGGTTCAGTAATATTTTTAAACTTACACAACTACTTTTTATATTTTCCTAGAAGTTGCTTGAGCTTGAGAAACAACGCTTTTGAAACCATATGTTTTCGACGATTACTTAGGCGATTTACACTTTATCGACAACTGAATATTTTTGTTTCAAAAACATAAAAACACTTCGTTTAGATTGAAGAAAAACGAAACCCGAAGAAGAATGAACTATCATTCCGTAATTTCATAAAATATTAGCAAAACAGTTACGTTCAGACCATGCAAAAATGTTTTACAAGAAAATTATATTTTATACGCAAAACTACTTTGTTTTTACAAGGCTGCACGATTTTCACCGTTTTTGTAATTGTAACGACACATTTGCTTTAAGCCTTTAAAGAACTTAATATTTCGAATTATATCCCCAAACTGCAAATACAAAACGTTCTGACAACGATTCTTTGTAAAACGAAATGTTTATAGTTTGTAGTTTGCTGCACTCTACTCAAATTCAACATGGCTGATTTACAAGGGCATTTTGGTTCCCAACTTGGATACCGGTCACGTGACCAAACACACATCACAAGTCTAATATTTCTATGACTTCAATGGAGTTTATTATATTCTATATTCGACGTTTTTCTTCTTTTTGGTTAGGTGCGACTTTATATTGTCAAATGTAAGGTAACTTACTCTTTATCTGAAAAAAGATTTTACAGAAGAATTTTTCTCAAACATAGTTATAAAGACTTAAAGTTAATGTATATTAATATCTGTATATTTCAGTGAATTTAATTCACTGAATTATGCTTTAAAAGTAAAAAATGGCCAAGATAAGAAATTTTTGACACTGAACTTGTGTTAATTATAGTTTCAACTTCAATTTTGAAAATTGCAATAATAGGTATTACTGATTTATATTCAATAATTCACAGAGCGTGAACACCCGTATGGAATGTACAAATTATCGACTTTTTGATTGAAGTTCCGCTTGAATATTCAGGTAGTTGTATCCCTCGAAATCTGCAGTTATCTTGATATCTATCCCGGCATAGACCGTTCAACATTGCACTGTTTAATTAGCACTAAGTAGTCATAGTCATTATCATACCTCTGAGTATTTGAGATATTGCATATAATTAGTACTACAAATATATTTTCATGTGGTATGTGTAATTGAGTTTAATACCCCAAGTATCTAGCCCAGTGCCAGGTTCAGAGTCCTCACCTGTCTAGCATGCCCCTGAAACAACTTGGCTGAATCTACCACTACCAAAAAGATACGATTATAATTCAACAATATACAATCAAATTGTGTGCTAACATGCAAAATGGACTCTGCACAGTTTGTGCACTGCCTTTTCATTTCATACTGGGTGAACATTATCGTGAGGATGGCAAATTCACAACCAACGTGTCCTCTTTCACTACTTTCCTATGAATTGTCTCGTTTCATAAGCTAACATACTTAGTAGTTCATGCTTACATTTTAACCGGGGCATACAAAGGTCCATTTTGCTTTATAGCGGTGCAATAGGGTTAGTACCCTAGGGGGGAGGGCCGATGGCCTTGTGTTGTGTGTGAAAAAATGTCAGCAAGGTAAAAATCATCATTCCTCAGTAGCATAACCCCTAAGAGCTGTGCCCGGCAAGAGCCAGGGGGTGTGCCTCGTCAAGGAAGGTCCCTGGGCTAATCTTTATGTAGCATTTGGAAAGCTCTCCCTGTTGACACTCTGAACAGTAGATCAAAGGGGCCTTTCATGGGGAGCACTGACACTTCATTCTACCCATAATTACGATTCTTGGGAATGAGTACACCATATGTCCCTAGTGTATAAATATCAATGTTTGCACTTTTATGAAATAAATGGAAAGAGCTATTTGTGCAGGTTATCCTTGACCCAAAAAGATTGATTATATCATCAGTTTTATATAACTTCTTAAAAACAATACTTTACTCTAAATCATTGAACTTAAAATCTAACTTAACCCAGAAATAGTTAAATACTTTGCATTCTATGGAATACATGGCTCATCTGTAACTTTACATATGCAATGAGTAAAATTAATATCGTATGTCATGTAATCTTCAAAAAATATGAAGGGGCCTTTGAACTCTTCTGCCAACTAAAGAAACACATTAAAGGGATGGCTTAGTCCACTACACCCTATGATAACTGCATGTTAATAACTAACATGACATTCATAAAGTTTGTATCCCACTATGTGTTCTTTTATGTCTTGCTGAAATACTTGAATATTTGAATTCTGCACAGACATGATATGACTTGGGTTGATTCTATTATGTGTTCTTTTTATGCGACAATAACTTGTTTAAATCGTGAATATTGTTTGTTACAAACCGTATTCTTATTGTCACACGAGTTCGCATACTGTAGTTTTTCAACAGTGTGCTCACTTGTCATTCATGGGTGTGAGAATTTTCTTAACAAGCTTCATATACATGATATCTAATTGATAAACTTCAAAAATTACAAAATAGAGCAGCGCAAATTATCACTGGTAGCACATACGATTTAAGTTCTGAGAACGTTTTAAAAGAGTTAAATTGGCAACCCCTTAAAAATCGATACAAAAACAATAAGACAAGCTTCTTGCATAAACTAAGAAATGACGCACTGCCATCGTCTTTAACAAACATGTTCAAAATTGCAAATGATAGGTATAACTTGCGAAGTAATGATAACAACTATACACTTGAAAAGCCAGAAACAAACTTTATGAAAAAGAGCTTTAGTTACTCTGCTGCATCACTTTGGAACAGCTTGCCCACTGCCGCTAAAGAAAAAGGCATTGGCTTAAACAAATTTAAATGTATTCTTGACGGTACATGATTTCAGTACTATACATATACTTGTTTGTAAATATTTTTATCTAAGCTTTAATATGTGTGTAATATTATATTAGCAAATTTTATTAGTGTGATGCATGTAAACGGCCCCTTGAAAAGCAGGTGTATATTTGAGCCCTGACGGGTTACCGTTTTAAAAATTTTTAAATAATAATAATAATAATAAATATGCTTGGCTGTATCACGATTTGTTGAAGTTGTATGTTGTTTAAATAAATTTTCCCATGTTGGTCAATGTTTGCCAGAATCATAATATTTTTTCACAAAGTCAGCATGGCATTCTCACATTAATTAATAAAGTTTGTGAGTGTGGTGGTATCTTTAGTCCATTACACCCCCCTCCCCTTGCTATACACACCTGCCTATAAGACATTATAATTTGAAAATGGAAACAATATTGTTCCACTATTCAGCATTTTATTTCTTATTATTTATATGATAAGCTAAGTAAAGCATACCAAGCTATCAAGCATACCAAGCTATCAAGCATCAAACGACTTTAACAACTTAGAACCAGACATTAGAAACACTGACTCGTTATACAAGTTTAAAGCTCTATTAAAAAAACGCTGTGTAGGCGAGAATTACATAGTAAACATAGTCTTAGATCCATAACGTTTTGTATATAGGCTATATATAGTAAAAGTATGTTAACGCATGTTATTGTAGATTTGCATGTTATTCTGTAATATATATGTATTGAAGTTGAAATTTATAATGCAGGACCCCACTGAAAAACACTTCGGTGACGTGGGTATCCTGCACAAATTTAAATATAATAATGATAAAATATCGTCTGACAGATTAGCTTTCTAAAACTGCTAATAAAATGTTGTCAATTTATAATGCATTGTGACCACATTGGCATGTATCGTCCTGCTCAAATAAATTAAATAATATCATCTTCATCATGCCAAGTAATATTTAATTGTAGGCTCAGCTGCTCATAGCTTGCCAACTTCAGTAAAATAGTATAAATTTCATTGTTAAATAAACAACTCAGTCACAACCATCATTCACTCATGCAGTATACATCAACTTTAAAACTACGTTAAATTATGTTGGAGAAAAATTCTGTTAGAAAATATTTTTTCAGATAAATTGTAACATATCTGACATTTCACAATATATAAGTTCTACCAACCAAAAAACCGTCAAAAACAGTAGAAAATATGGAATATAAACTGCATTAAACTGCACTCCTTAGCTTGGCGCCATATTCAATTAACAGCCACATTGATAAAGGGCTAGGGACAAGGTGCTCTACCGTATCTGAAATAGCCTTCACCGACTTCATTGTACCCAGAACAAAACAAACAATGGCCTGGGTACAAGTATCTACATATCTACAGCCTGTTCGCAGGCAAACAAGAAAAAAACATCACCTGAAAGTAGACATTTCTGTGGCCTTTGTATATCCATTAACTGACTACCATTACAGGGCCATATTTACCCATCATGGTCTCTTTGTATCCATTTAGTATAGCCACAAATATCCATTACTGACCATAACATTCGATCCTTTCATTTCGTCTCAAACATCCAATTTCATCATCGTCTTTGTCATTTGGTACATTTTCTTCAAATTCATGGCTTCGTGATCTTACTGTCTTTGATGTATTGTCATTGTTGGAAAATAAAGATATTTCCCCATGTATATTGCTCTTTGAGGTGTCTTATCTTGGTAACATGACATTTTATAAATTACTATTCCATCACCATGTTCAGTAATGATCTGTAAAACAAAGCAAAACAATCATTAATTCAGATATAAAATTTAAACCATTTTGTTGTGCTGTACCATGAAGCATACTCTACTCAGTTTTTTACTGTCCAACGCAAGACGATTTTATGCTTCATAACGAGACTGCCCATGCTTCTAATTACTCACTAACTGCAGTGCTCCCCCTGATTAATAAAATTGTCTGACGTTAGACAGAGTTGGTAAAGTATGTAAATTACGGTGAAAATCAACTTAATGACTAACAGTGCTGTTCACATGATCACAGTTTGTCAGGACAGGATAAAAGGTGGGATGATTTTCATCTACTGAAATAAGTCACTAGGCTTGAACAAAAAGTTCAAAGACGGTTTTAAAAGAACTGAAACTATGTTGTGTACATGATCTCATAGTTAAGATTATTATTCTTGCTGCTTGATTCAACCACTTTTTCCTACAATTATAATAAGTCTATAACTAGAAAATAATGTGAACCATCTGGAAATTGTCAACTCAGAGATCCCAAGGATAGTGCAAAGTTGATATGACAACTGACCAGAAAGCACTATAAGGGGTGTGCACACTATAAGGGGTCTATATATAGGCCCCACATCCACCCTTTATTGTGCATGGTCTGTATTATTATACTTTTATAGTCTGTATATACTACAGAATTTTAATTGATTACTTTAGTATGCTGTTTACATTTCCAGAAATATAATTTTCCCACACATACTAATGGAACATAAGTACTAGAGATTTTTTACCTGATATACAAACACGAGCCGAAGACGAGATGAGAACGTTTTATCGTAATTATAAAACAACCGATCTTATGAGTTCATTGGCAAAGTAATTTAAAAATAAACATGCATTGTCTAAGCCGAGAAAATCAAAGCAGAAGTTTATGTAAATCAGGACAAATCTTTATGCGATTTACAAACATTGATTAAACATTTGTTTCTTTTGTATTTTCCTCATGAATTATTGAATTTTATAATGACAAATAGCATACAGACTTTACAGTCAGTATAAACTATAGTGTAGACTGCAGAAAATGTATAAAATGCAGAATGTATATAAAGCTGCTTATTGAAATTGCAGACTTGGCATATATAATATGCAGACTATATTGAATAAACATGACTATATTGAATAAACATGACTATATCGATCATTAGAAAATATAATGCATGAGCCTTCAATTTCCTTAATTTAAAATCAATCGCCCAATTTAAAAATCAAATATGTTCATGCTAAAACAGCACATCAGAGGCAGCACATACAGTGCTCAGTTCTCTAGAACAAATCACAATCGCTAAAATATTTGTGTTGCGTGATTGAAATGTATAAGCTTTGCAGCGCTAATTATAGAACTACATTTAACTACTTTGTTTACTACATTGACATTTTGACAGTGTACAGCGTTTGATCAGATGTTTACGCATATGCTTGGGTTGAATGGCTTAATATTCAAGACAAAATAACAATAACTAAGTGCGTCTTATTGTTATAAATGCAGTAAGATTCGCCTGTTGTCAGAGCCTGTGTCTGTGATCATGACATTAACTACCATCGTTATTTAATATAAACATTAAAGAATTAAGAACCATAGTCTCTTTTTGCATGCCTGTGCTCCAGAGTAAAATTTTACAGTTACAACAAAATGGCAATATAAGATGCGAGTTGTTTATACTTATACAACCCTTATAGGTAGTATACGGTATCGAGTTATTTTTAATAAAATGTGTAAGCTAATTTATATTAAAACTATCATGACCACACTCCACAGGCACTTTTTTATATTCTGTATCACTCTGTTTCTTTGTTAGATAATATAAGCACAAAAACAAGGTTAAAAGTGACTGCATCTTTGACTTTGATAGTAATGATAGACCCGTTCTATACACAACATTGTACTGCAACTCCTCCCCATATTAAAATTGGCGCAGTGCAGAGCAAGTGTGTTGTTTCATTTGATTTTGTTGCACTGAGGGCGAGAAAGTACCTACACATATTAGCCATTCATATCTTAAAATTGATATTTAATTTATGATTGTTCCTCTAAATGCTAGATAATGTAAATCAGAAAAACATCTGTCGTTGTGAATAAAAATATAAAATCTTATTTGAAAATTTTTTAATATATATGCTGGCCGAACGTTGCAAAGCTACGAAAATAATTTGCAAGCGCTCCCCCCGGATTGAATTGTTTACACTATACATCCATCGATCGATCCATTGTTGAGTCACATAATGACGTAATGCCTTGCACCCCATCACAATAGTACAAACTTGACTTCATCAACTTTGCACTAAGAACTGTTCTTTTAAAGGTGATCTACAGTCCGATCTGCGCATGTGCACAAATGAGCCCACTTTTTATGATACAAACAGTTTAACTATGTTTTGAGTTCTTGAAAAGCCTGCTTGTTGTTTCTTGATCATTTATTATGGTACTCTAGAAGCTTGAAAATATAAATAATTGTCAAATAAAGCTCAATATTTTGGACACAAAAATGTAAACAAAGGCTTTGTTTACATACGGACTGTAGATCACCTTTAATTATAACAATTACTTTGAAGTGATTTTTTCTGTGTTGATGTTGTGTACTCAGGTGAATACGATGTTTGTGATGTTACTCTGAGTGTATATACACACTGGGCAACCTTGAAAAATATGCCTGGCCAAGGTGGTAATTGAACCTACCACCTTCGGAATACCAGCCCTATGTGGTCAGGTGACCAGATATAGCTCAGTTGGCACAGCATTGGGCTGGTATTCTTGTAGGTCCGATTCCCACGGTGGCCAAGCATATTTTTCCACCTTTTAACTAGGCTGTTGCAGTATATCGATATACCAATAATTATCTTTTTTTTTATAAATACCAATTACTCGATATTGAAATTTTCGATATATCGGAATATTGATCTTTTTTCCTATTATCGATATCATGTTTACGTTTGTATATTTAAAAGTCATCTCAAGCTTTTTCAAGCGCTGATTGGAGTTATTTCAGAAGGACAAAGACGATCAATGTGTTAACTCCACGGTAAGATCCGTAAATTAAGGTTAGAGCGAGATCTAAAACATGTGTTTGTTTATACGTTGGCGTTGCAACGTGTAATATGTCATTTCGCGCTTGCCAAAAAAGAACTTTTAGAACGTAAACAACAGTGGATTACAAATGTTTTAGAAAAACAAAGACTAACCTCATTGGACATTGTTTGTCTGGTGAGATACTAGGACGACCTTTGTTTCAAATTCCCGGTCAAAAATATCACGCATGATTCATCCGGTGCGATAATCAATGCTAATAAGTAATATGCATTTTCAATTCTTAAAGCGGACATTTCACAGACTACTGATCACTGGCCTCACACTTTATTGAAAATATCACACACCCGATGAGTCAAAGCTGCATGTTATATCATGGCTGTTCGGCATAATTTGAAAACAGAAACTTTTGCATAAAATTAAGCAAATTTTGCATAAAATTAAGCAAAATACAATCGCAAAAAAATATCGATATATTTTGGGGTTTTTCAAATACCACAACAGCCTACTTTTAACCCATTAAGCGCCAGCGCTCTCCCCTTGACGAGTAAAATCGTCTGGCATTAGACAGAGTAAAATAATAAAGTAGGGTGCATAAGGGCACAATGTGACTCAATAGGTTAATCAAACAAAACGATTACATTCAATGTGATAAAAACACGAGTTGAAAAAGTTGGTCATTTGCAAACAGTATACAGAGGCTAACCAAAGGCAGTCACAGGAAATTTTTGAAAGTGCACCAAGCTATTTCAAACTTTCCAAGAATTGTTCAAAACTGTTCTTTTAATCAAAACAATTACTTTAGCATGATAAAAATATGAATTGGAATATTTTGGGTAGAGGCAATCCTATGCTAATTTATTTATTTATTATTATTTATTTATCAAAGCGGAGACCACAGGATATTTTTGAAAACATGTAAAAGTGCCCCAGCCTACTCTAAACTTTCTGAAAATTGTCCAAACCATTATTTTAATCGAAACAATTTCAAGTGATAAAAAAAACATCAATTGAAAAATGTTGTTCATTTGCAAACGAAAGAGCACATGATTTTTTAGAACTGACCTTTCAAGTAGTTCCTCTGCAAACCCAACTGAACTAACACATGTCAACATGACGATACATTCAATTGCCTTGTACACATTGCTGGTGTATAGTTTCTTTGGTAAGCCATAGAGTTGAATTGCTGTTCTCTAAGAAAAATAAGATTAACTCATTAAGCTGCAAAGTAACCAAATGTCTGATGCCAGATCATTTTACTCAAATTAAGAGAAAAGTGGCAATGTATCTTGTTAACACATTAAACTGCAATGCAACAAAATGTGCCCTACTTTTTAATTTCCCCCAGGGCTGCAAATTACTGTCGGACATCGGACAATGTCCGACTAAATTTGGTGAATGTCCGAGCAAAAGTAATTTTGATCGGACATTGGTCCGATCACAAAAAATTGTCACATTAAACATTTTTTTGCTGTGACAAAATCCGATTGCAAATTCACTCAATTTGCATTTTGCAATAAAATTTACAAGGCGTTCTACCATTTAATTTTACTTAACGTTGCGCCAGAATGGCATACATACTTGTCTCGTGCATGACTTATATATATCTTGTGACGTATATATGTCCGACCAAATTCAAGTTATGTCCGACCAAAATTAAAAGTGATTGGACAAATGTCCTGTCAAGTCAAATATTTATTTGCAGCCCTGTTCCCCTGTCTAATGCCAGATGATTTTACTCATCAAAAGGACAGTGTTACTTAATTAACCAAACAATGGATTTTGTTTAAATTTTAAAACCAATTCAAAATCTCAATATTATAGAGCCCTGAATATTTTAACAAAATACAAAACAGGTATAACTCCAATGGTCGATAACATTTTTATATTTATACAATGTATAACCAGATGTATAATAGTTTGTCCAGATGACATCTGAAATATAGTCGAAATGAAAATAAATATAAAAATGTTATCAACCTTTGGAGTCAAGCCCTGGTCAAACGAGAACACAAGTCATCGCAAGTAAACTTGTTCCAACTTGCCCTGAATTGCGATGGGATCGATCAAACAATAAGCAAGTTTTTGCAAAAATTTGGTCTGTGTGCACCTGTACATGTCTTACCCAGGGTGTTTCCCCTGAAAGGAGAAAGACCCTGCTCCAGGGAAGGACCCTTTACCCAGGGTCTTACCATTTGGGGAGAAAAGTCACTTGTCGGTACAAGGTCGCACATAATTTTGCAAAGTTTCATAAATGTAAACAAAACATGGCTGTTGCTTAACCTATTTAAAAAGGAGTGCAAATCAAGACATATCAGACAAGTCTACCAACTAATAAGTTTTTAAATTAACTTTTCATAACATAATCATTGTTTCAAAAAAAAGAAAATTTCCTTGACTATCTGCAACAATTTTTGCATTTTTCACACAAAATCAAGAAACACAGAACTATATACCAAGAATTAAAACTTATTGTTATATACACAGCCAGAAACGTGCAAGTCGGAACAGATCTGCAACAGGTCTGTTAAATCCTGCTGTCAACAAGCCGATATCTGGATGCGTTCGCTCACCTTGTACCTGTCTGTTCTGACAGGTCCGCAACGGCCTGTCAACAGGTCTGTTAGAAGCTGTTGTGACAGAGCTGCAGCAATGCTGTTTTCAACAGGTCTGTTAGAAGCTGTTGTGACAGAGCTGCAGCAATGCTGTTTTCAACAACTTGCGACAGACCTGTTGCAAACCGAGGAAAGCGCCTTATCAAGCTTGTGTATTCACTATTTTGAACAAAAAACGGCCAAACAGGTTGCCATATTTCGGTTGTAGTGTTTCGTGAAATGGCCAGACTTTCATATGAACACTTATAAACAAACTTGCGAGATAATTTTTTAGCAAAACAGCCGACAAAATACGACAAATTCAAGAAAGGTTCTTATCGTAAACAATTTTCAAAATTAATTGGTCTTTAAGTACGACCGAAATATGACAACCTACTTGCATATTTTTCTTCAAAATAGTACATAAATAACACAAAGCTTCAATAAGGCGTCTTCCTCGCTCGCGGATTTCACTTGAAATTGGAAAGAAATCATTGTATATAACGAATTTCATATTCATTTGAACAATGAAGAACATTGCAGTGAACACTCGGTTGCTCATGTATTTTTCATTTCTTAAGCTCTAGATCTTGTATTCTCATTGCCACAGTTTCTTCAAAAATCAAAACAGCTTTGAACTTGTTTGATTTTGTTTGAGGCAGTTGTTGAAATTTTGTTTGGCTCAAAATTCAAAAACAACTATAAACATGATTACGTGATTGATATGTTTGTAATATTTCGTCCAATTGCAACGAGGAATGATGACGTGTGCACACGGCTTTATCCAATCAGATTAAAGAAATATAACGATAGCACACGTCAGCAAATTGGAATTTGGATTTTGGAAATCGGAATTATTTTTTAAAAATATAAAAAGTTAAAAACAGCGGCTTTTGCATTTAATCACAGAGTAGATATACTTAGGTTATGTTCACACGGGCGTCGTTTTCCAGCGTTTTCAAAACCTTTTTTTCCTTTAATCGTTTTGACACCCTGTTCACACGATCCAAAGGAAAATATATTTCCAATATATTAAATAAACTACAGCTTCTGTTGTATTAAATTGATAGTGTTTGCATCCGTTTTAGCGTGAAAACGTTCGAAAACGTTACCGTGTGCACATAGCCTCATCTCCTCTGCATGTGATTTAATATTGCCTTGAATGAGAAAGTGAAGCCGGACGTGTCCATTTCGTGCGATTTTTCTCTTTACCACATTCTTTACTCACATTTTCGATTTGTTTCCCAACAACAGGCTTGTTGAAACTTGTTGTGACAGGACAAAAATTGTTTGTTGTGGACAGGTCTGTCGCAGGTCTGATAGCAAGCTTGCTGCAGACTTGACAAAAACAACTCGCGACAGGTCTGTTGGAACAAGTTGGAACAGACCTGTTGATTTCAACAGACTTGCTGCACAGAATAGGAAGTTATACCAGAAGCGTAACTCTAGTCGTTTCCCTTATTGTTTGACGTCCACGAAAATTTTAACTCGCTCACGTCAGGCCACGCCATCCTGGCTAGTACAGCCGGAAGTTTTTATCAGGATTTGGTAGGTACAAAGTGCCGGTTGTACTAGCCACGATGGCGTGATTGATGACGAATCGCTTGTAAAAACGCGGACAAATATTTGCTCGAGTTATGCTTCTGGTATAACTCCCTATTCTGTGCTACGGCTCTGTTGTCAACAGCTTGCGACAGACCTGTTCCCGCAAGCCTGTTACCGCCTGACGAAACCAACAGACCTGTCGCGACTTGTTGACAACTTGCCGCAAGCCGGTAAAATCAACAGCTTGCGACAGGCCTGTGAGATTTCTGGCTGTGTAGTTATCAATATCATCGGTGGGAGTAATATTAATGGGATTTCTCGTGAGGAAATTGCGCAACTCATCAAATTTACCGTTCCTGTAGTCAAAAACTCGGCGTTTAACTGGCTTAGCTCTTTTAAACTTCAGTTGAACATCAATTTCCACGACGTAATGATCTGTTGGGAAACATTCAGGAAGGAATGCAGAAACGTCACCGATGATTTCTGGAGAATTACATAGCAAAAGGTCGAGTTTATTACCAGCGATGTGGATGGGACCAGATATAAACTGTTGAAGGAAGTTGTCGTCCACCATTTCGCAAAATGCTTCATTCTCATTGGACCCTCCGGTATTCACAGGAACATTTTCATAACTCGACCATTTAACAGATGGCAGGTTAAAGTCTCCGATCATCACAATACGACTCGATTCTTGGTTTCTTTGGAGTGAGTTGTTCAGTGACTGAAGGACATCAGGCGTAGAGTCAGAAGGGCGATAGAAAGTGTAAAGGATGACAGGTTTACTGTTCGATTTAAAAAGTTCAGTAACAATAAGCTCCGTGTTGTCAGTTTCCAGATCGTGACGACGTGTGACTTGTATTCCTGACTTAATAGCAACGAGAACACCACCACCAATTCTGCCAGTTCTATCACGCCGGAAGACAGTTCCATAATTAGGTATAATTTCGCTGCTTAAAACTGAGTTGTTTAACCACGTCTCACAAACACATACGACGTCATAATTTCCACTGTATACTAAATCTTGAAATAACGAAATTTTGCAAACTTTCGGGGAGGTATTCCCCGGTGGATGAACAAATGCTTTCAGGCTTCTTGCATTTAAATACAGTATCTTGAAACCGTCCCTTGATTGTGAGTCAGATGTTGGGCCTGGGTTGGTTGCTACATCACCAGCAAGCAGGATACATAAAAGAAGATGCAAATTCTTGTGTTTTACATGAAGTTCCAAGCCGTAGTGGTGCTTACAAGGATAGTTAGATTTCCGTAAAATGTTGTCTCGCGTTGATATCCAAAGAAAACAAAGTCTTTAATTGTGTAAACGTTCTCTGGTTAAAAAAGATTTATTTATTAACAAGCTTTCGACTGCCAGTCTGCAGTCTTCGACGGGTAGATTTATATTATTAATAACGGATAGATTAGATTTATATTATTAATTATTGACGTATACCGAAAACCTACACACACTGACAGGTACTTAGACTACAACTCACACCATGACAAACGACACAAAGTCAGCACTGCACAAACTCTCCTACATAGGGCAGCAACTTTACCAAACACAGAGGAAGGCAAACAACAAGAACGCAAACATGTAACCCACACATTAATGTCAAACGGTTATCCTAAGAAATTTTTGCAACAAGTTGAACAGAAACGTGTCATGTTTGAAAACAGAACGCCGCCACCCGAAGAACTTGTAAGATCGTTTTTTGAATTAGTAGAACCGAAGACCAATCGCAGTTACGCCGTCCTTCCATACATCAAAGGACTAACAGAACCTCTTAGACGCATTATGAAACCTCACGATATCCGAGTAACTACGAAACCTCTCCGCACTCTAGAACAAATGTTTCCCTCAACAAAAGACCGACCACTACTTGAGAACCAGACGAACGTCGTCTATCAAATTAACTGTTCAGATTGCTCGTGGAGTTACGTTGGCGAGACAGGCAGGGCCTTTATAACAAGAAGAAAAAAAGAGCACGAACGAAACGTGAAAAAATGCAAGAGTGGCTCTAATATCGCGAATCATGCGTGGGCAAACGACCACAGAATTGATTTTAAGAACGGAAAAATAATTGACAAGGGAAGCTATCGACACAGATCGACGTTAGAGTCTTGGCACACTGCATGCATGAAAGACGCTGATAACAACTCAAAACATTTGCCAGAACAATATCGCTTTTTGCTCAAAAAACTTTAAATTCCACACAATATATTTACGCAGGCGGAACTGTCAGTAATTGTCTTTTGTCAGTAAATGTAATTGTAAACCGCTCTTGTATAGCACTATTCACTCTGTATCATATCTTATATCACTAGCACATTATAAATCTACCCGTCGAAGACTGCAGACTGGCAGTCGAAAGCTTGTTAATAAATAAATCTTTTTTAACCAGAGAACGTTTACACAATTAATTATGAATCCTGGTTTCGCTTCCAACATTTTTAAATGGCTGAAGATATTTATAAAACTCGAATATCCTCATGTTTTATGCGTTTTGATGGCGTTACGGAGCAACTTTGCAAAGTTACACGCCAAAGGCTTAAGAAATTTCTTGAGTGTAGGTCAAAATGGGCCAAACTTAAATGTCAACAAGCTGAAATAGCTAAGAAATCATACGAGAACATCGATGACGGATCTGTCAATTCATACATGGAGAAGAACCCTGATACCATTAACTTAGAATGGAACCATCATCAGGTTTATCATCATCATTATCATCATCAGGTTTGGTTTTAAAATATATTGAATTGTGATCAATTAAGTTTACTTAGGGTAAAGTAGTTTCTATGCTACAAAGTTACAAACATCCAACCTTGTTATTATTTTGTTTCACACCAGGCAACTAAGAAGAGAAGAAGAACCCCACTCATGTTGGCAGAAACAATTGATGCTGGTCTTCTACGTACAGCTGCCGAGAGAAAGAATGATCAACGGATACTCATGCAAATCCAGGGGAAAGACTGTGTAGCTCTGGAAATCCGCTATCACAAAGTTTGCTACTGCAATTTATATACAATATTTCTCACCAGAGAGACGAAGAAGCAACGAGAGCATCAGTGTACGAGAAGTCTTATGATGTATTCTGTAAAAAAGTAATTGAGATGGAGGTCATCGGAAATAAGCAAATAAATTATATGAAAGATTTGCTGGAGAAATTTGTTATCATTGCTAAGGACACTGAGAATGTGGATGCATCTAAATATAGAGCTTTTAAACTCAAGCAATGAATGATGAAAAGTTATCCCCAACTTGTGGTCTGTGTACCGAAAATGAGAAATGTTAGTGAGATTGTATATGTGGAAAATTTGGATTCTTCTGAATTGGTTGAGGAACATATGTCAATTAAGGGCCTAGGCCCGTTTATATGGAAGTCGGGCTGGCCTGCTTAGCGAGACAGCCCGGTAAGCAGGATGAATTTCTCTTGTGTTTATATGAGAAACTTTCATCCCGCTTGCCGGGACGATTTTGTTACATTGTATTGTTTTGACAGTTGTTAAAATTAAAATGGGGCAGTATCGTTGAACTTTCATCCCGGCAACCGGGATAGCCCGCTTGTAAATGTTTATATGGAGAAATTTCCATCCCGGTAAGCGAGATCTAGCCTCTTTCAAACGAGATCTCGGCAACCGGGCCAGCCCGCTTGTCCATATAAACGCACGATAATTTTTACTATAAAAATAACTGCACAGCAAGATCTTGCTTACCAGGCTGTCTCGCTTATCAGGCCAGCTTCCATATAAACAGGCCCTAAGTCTGAAAACGATGAAGAAAGCTGTACCATTGATTATGATGATGAGAATTCCAACACAGAAACTGGGGGGAATTCTAAAGTCAATAAGTTACAAATTCTATACAATGTTGCATTGTAAGGGATAATATTTCAAATTTGACTATGAGGTCAGGACTAGACTAGATTTCAAGTCCACACAATTTGATTACGTCCGAGGCGAAGCAGAGGACTGGATCAAAATGTGAGGACTTGAAATCTAGTCCAGTCCGAATTGGAGGATTTGAAATAGCATCCATACGAATAAATCACTACTTAATTAATTTTGATCCAGTTCAAGGACTGAATTAATTTTAATCCAGT